CCAGGACGTCGTGTGGAAAGGCAGCATGTGGAAATTTTGAAGCAACGCCTCAAGACATGAGCCAGGAAGTCAAAACTGGGACAACAGACACTGAAGGCAGCGTGTGACGTTTTGGAGCGTCGATCGACTGGCAACCGCAGAAAGCAGCTTGTGAAGGGGAAATGTTTGAATTTAAAAAGTACATTTCTGGCATTGAATAAAGGTTAAAAAAAATCTCCAGAAAATGTTTTGTAGCTCTTATTATTTTTGACTGTAAGCAAGCAGTTATAATTCAAAGCTAATTAACTTAAAGCAGATAAGAGTTTACTCTGCTTTTAATGTTAGACAGACATTAAACCACTGAATCTGATTTCAACGTGTCAGTGTGCTGTGAAACTAAAAATAAATTTAAAAAAAAGAAAGAAAAAAAAAAGCAGCTCAGACTGGGTAAGGAAGCAGTTTTTAGTCTCCCTCCAGGAAACTGATCTCTGATCCGTGAAGCTGCTGGTTGAGGAGGATCCAGCAGCTTCATCGCAGTGACTCACTGGTCCGCTGGCGGTGTTGCGATCAGCCTGCTGAGCAATCAACCGACGCCCTCAAAACGCCCAGTTCACAGACCGTCAGAGATCCTCCCAAAAGTCTCACTGCGACATGATGAAGCTCATCAGCTCCTGCCGAGGGCAGGAGGCGTGATGCCGCCTCGCCGATTGGCTCTCTTGTCACATTTCTGTTTGCACCGGCGTGAAACGCCACGGAGGTAGGAGTCACACTCACATGAAGCGCAGCTCCGACTCCCTGCGCACCAGGACCTCCCGCAGGCGCTGGATGCGAGCCATCTCCACCTCGATCTCCTCCGGAGACATGGTGCTCTCGGCCATGGACACATCGGAGTGACCTGAGAGTGAAACAGAGACCCGGTGTGATGGGAAGGAAACAGTTTCAAGCCAGTGACAAGTGTCTTCACACAGCCAGGAGGGGTGAGATTCCCGGAGAGAGCAGCATTTTTTTTTCTTTTTTTTTTTTTATTAAATCGTTTCTTTTGAGTCAGACTGAATAATCTTCCCTAGGTGACGGTTGTTATTGTTGCAGAAGGGGAGGAAACTCCCCCTCTGCGCTGGCATCGATTTTTACACGTCTGGCAATTATGTGCACAAGCTGCAGCCTCTGATGACGATCTTTTGCAAACCACTTAATCTGCAGATCAATTTACTGCTGAAAATGCTCCAGGATCTACACCGTGCTGACCTTTCCAGCACACAAACAGGGAGCAGCACAGATCTTGTCTTGTTACATCCCAGCTGCAGCAGCTTTGCCACGTTGAAACTCAGAGTTTTGAAGTAGAACAAATATTATATGTGGCTTAATTTTTCTTCCCTACATAAAAAATGAAGTATTTGTACGAAGCTCATTTCTTTAACACCCCTAAATTAAACTTGATGCAGCTGATGGTCTCCAGATGTTATTTGAAGGCCTCAGAGGTTTGTGACAAAACAGTAAAGAAAAAAAAAGCCTCATGAAAACCAAGAAACACAGCAGAAAGGTCAGGACAGAGGTGGTGGACAAAATTTTGAATCAGAGTTATGTAGGTCACCATCATCTAACAGAGTGGGAAAGGAAAGCGTTTGTCAAATAATGTCGACAGAACTTCTGCTCGTTCTGCATGCGCGGCATAAATATGGTTGTTATGAATGAGTGGAAGAAGAAAGCCGTCGTCTAAATGAATCCGTAAGAAGTCGTGTTTTTTCTGCTTGTCACAAGTAGGTGGCACAACAAACTAACTGATAATGAGAAGGCGTAATCATGAGATGAAACCAAAACTGAACTTTGCAGACTCCATGCAAAAATCTATTCTAGATAGACTTGATTTACTAAGTGACTTCAACTGGTTGAACTGGTTCTTATCAGAGTAAAAGCTGATGACTGCAAGTGCACGCCATAGTTTTCAAATGTCCGTTTGCAAACAAATTGAAAGCCATGCATCGTTCTCCACTTGCACCACTTTGTGTTTTTTTCTTGCATAAAATCCTAATGAAATATACCAACCTTTTTTTGGTTGTAGAGTGATTAAATGTGGGGAGCTTTAGGAGCTATCAATAATTTTGCAAGAGAGCACGCAGCGTTTAAAAGTATAAAAGTATTGTTTTATACGTTATTATGAAGCCGTACCTAAAACTCAGAAATCAATGGCACCTGAACACAGGCTGGAAATAATCTGAGAGAAGGCGCTGTAATCGTAATCTTGTCCTGTCAAAGCAATAATCTACATAGTTTTGAGAAAAAACATGAATATTTCTTGATGTTGTGTAACTTGTTTTTGTTATTTCTGGGGTTTAGAGGACTGTAACATATAGAGAGGTGAATCTAGCGAACTTCTAAAGCACTAATCTTTTCAACAACATCAACAACAGTTTGTTTGGAGGGCGGAAAAAAGACCCTATACTGATTTGGTGATTTCAAAGCAAGAGGGTCGCAAGTTTTGTTTTGAACATTTTGCACACATAGATCACCCAAACATCACGTTAGACGTTTCAATATCCTACTGCTCTTGGGGGACCTGGAGGCAGCAGCTTTGTACACTTGCGCCTTGAGCCTGGATGAAAGAAGGAGCCCTTCTTTCATCCAGGCTGCAGTGAAACCCAGTGACAGAGAAATACACTGATAAACAACAACTAACTGAGCAAACAACTCAAGTTCCCTGTTTTTCCTGAGTCAACAGCGATGATGAATCCATGGTTCATACTGTAGCAGTGGAAGACCAGCTGGCCGGGCCGCTGCAGTCTGCTTCTGAGGGGTTCTGCACGTAGATGGAGCTGACTCACCACATAAATGTCTGCGCAGTACCACTCGGTTTCTTTTCTGCCTGCTTATGATTTCAAATCATTTAATGTGTCTGTGAATAGTAAACACCAGTAGCAATCCAAGGTTAGTTATTATTGCAGCATAAAACAAGCCAAGGTGTTGTTTTCCTCATCTTTCTTCTTCTTCCACCATCAATAGAGGCCAGGTGTCTATAAACTGATGGGACCAGTTGCAGTCGACTGATACTGATATGACACCTACATAATATCTCTACAGCTTTTTCTCATATCAACCAAAAATGAAAACCGCAGGACAATTAATTCAAGTTTTCTATTAACCTCTAACAGTTAACGACAGACTACCACCCATTGTTTCTTGAGCAAAGTAGTGTAATGCCACGTATAATTAATCAGGTTTATTTAAATAAAAGGGCGAGCTCCTCATCAAACAGCCTGGAAACTCTGCAGCACCCCCAGTGAGCTGAACAACATAGAAATGTCAGCGTATGTCACCCGACGCAGACGGCCCTGTCATCATATGCTGCAGTCACGCTGGACGCTCTGCTGCTGCCGGTGCTGCTGGACTGGCCCTCCCCGCACTTAAGACAAGAGAACCAGGTGAGCACCAAATGCAAACCACAAAGCGCTCTATAAGTATGCATTTATGCTTTGGGGATGACGAAATGCAAACACAGCAGCTAAGTCAAGACACACAAAAACAAAACAACCACTGAACTGTAAGTGTTTCCTCACCTTGGAGAGTTATCAGAACCAGCAGGGATCCATAAAGTAAAACAACAGATGTTATGTGAGCTAGGTCATTAATTTTTATTTTATTATTATTATTATTTGTCACAGGTTTAGATGTTGTGGAACAGGTGAAAAATTTAAATGAGACATCTAATGTGATGTAAGCAAAGTTTAAAAAATAAAATAAAATAAAAAATGAAGTTAATTAAAAGTAAGACAAAAGTTTCTTCAAAGGTTTAACAAGTGATTAGAATAATCACAAAAACAAATGTAATTTACAATCATCTTGAAGACTGCAATCATATATAGGCTATATATATATTTTTTTCAATCAAACCAAAAACGCTGCATAATGAAGTTTATGTTGTTTTTTTAAAATTATGTTTAATACGTCAATCAGAGTTACAGTAAATCCTTATTAGTCTACTCAGTCTGAGTCATCAGCACCATGCAAACTCCTCCTCGGCTCACAGGGTTCAGTTTTCAACCATAACACGTTCATGCGTCCTGCAATGTCCGCTGCTGCGTCTGTTAGAGGGATCCTGATCCAAAGGGCTTTATTTAGTATATTGACTCCAACTCATCCGCAGTCTCTTATCACCCACCGCGGTCACGTAAGTAAGTAACAGGCCTTAATGGCACCACAGCAACGTCAGGCTGTCGGCACATCAGAACCCTTTTTGTGAGTCACGCTTTAACCATTTCAGCGCCGACCGAAATGAAAACCGCCACAGCGGGCTGGTCTGTGTGAGAAGGAGCCCTGCGTTTACAGCGTCAGTTCACCCGGACGCGCGTCGGTTCGCCCACCTTTGTCCGTCGTCCACGCCGTTTCCGACACGGCGCCGTAGCTCCGGAGCGCGCGCTCGGTGTCCGAGAAAGACTTCTTCATCTCCATGCCGGAGCGGAGGGGGTGAACAAAAAAATGACCCGAAAATTAAAACAAAAATCCGAGAAGCGAGCGAGAACCTAAATGATATGATCTGCAGCTTCTCCTCCCTGTTTGGGTTCTTCCGGACGAGTCAGTGTTCACCCGGCGACAAGCGACCAGCGACCCGAGAAGCTGAGAGCATCTTCAGCCGAGTCTTCAGATCCTGCTGGATGGAGGGGGGATGCTGGGCGCATGCGCAGTGCGGGCGGAGATTAGGGGAGCTGGAAGACGCGTAAGAACTCTGGGATGCTGATGGTGATGACGATAAAAATAAAACAGCTGGGTTACACACACACACACACACACACACACACACACACACACACACACACACACACACACACACACACACACACACACACACACACACACACACAGTGAAACATTCGAATTATTAGAAATAGAAATATTCCAGAAGGCAGGGTCTGACAAAACAGAGAAAATTTTTAAAAAATGAGAACATCCCCTCATATTCTATTTTTTTTTTTGCTGTAATATGTATTAATACAATTTGTATATTAACTATTTGTATTAATACAAATAGTTGATTAGTTTTCAAATGCTTTGGACTATCATTTCCTGGATGACTTCGTCTGGGCTGATGTGTTATTTACAAATTATTTCATTCAGACTGTAATCCGTTTGGGTATAAACTGTTTAAGTGTGATATATCTCTATAGAAACCCAGTGAAAGACACACACAGTCAAAATAAAGTTTATTTTTTATTAACTCCATAGCATTATCTTTTTCAATTAGTGCAACAAATGCAAGACAATGTCAATTAATTTGAAATATTCAAGAGCACCAATCTGTTCTCACACCCAAAAAAGTCAGAAATCTCTGACACAAATATGAAATTAGCTGCTAAAATGACCCAGCAGGAACAAAGGGAATATTCAATTACATTTCATATCCAGTGTAGCAAATATCCATACAAATATTTACTTAAGAAAATATTGGGGGCAGGGATCACATCATATTACACAAATAATAAATCCATAATTCCAAGGATGCAGTTTAAACATAAATAGGACAAACAGGCATAGTGCCGACTTTATTTTCCAACAATCTTCAAGTTATGCTCTTATATTGATGTAAAAACAATTTAACTCAGTTGTGTTTGTGTGAGATACATGAAATGTTACAAGCAGATAGAACTGCATAACTCATATTTTCTCTGCACTATAAAAAACAGAAGTGAATATTTTTCTGTCATGGTAACATTTAATGGTTGATGACTGCATCGAAGACATAAAATGGAAGGATGCAAATAAAACAGAAGAAAACAGTATTGCACTCATGTGAAGAGCAAGAAGAAGAAGACGAAGAGGTGGGCAGTCTATAGATATTCAAGTAAATGTCTTAAATCAGATGAAAAAGAAGATTGGCTCACTAGAAAGTTAGTAGCTGTAGTGTTT